AAAAAAGGTTGGGGACCGCTGCTTTAGATGAAAGGAAAAGGCTAGTGCTTTTAATTGCTAAAGGAGTTTTATTCTTAATTTCCCATATTAAAATGCAATAGTTTTCCAAATTCACACCTCATTTCTTCAGACTTGACAGAGCTCCTTCAGATGACATCATGCCACTGCTGATAAAGAGATCATTGGTTAAACTAGAGGAGTTTACAGATTAAAAGTTGTCATTTAATCTTTAGAAATGTACACTCGACGAATGATCTGACCTCCGCAAGTTGAAAAGGTCGAGGAAGTTGTTTCTCATAACGTTCGTTTTTTGTGTTTTTAGTCGTGGTCCTTTGAGGGATGGGCGTTACCAAAGGACGCTTACTCTCACTCACCACGCACTGTCAGAGTGAAAGTTTAAAATTCGAATCCTGTGACAGGTTAACAAAAACAATAAACTGCCACTTTACTTTTTAACTGAACACACACTCACATTTCCACTCATACTTTCTCTCTTCTCTTTCTCTCTCATCCACCACACCAGTGGTATTACTGTACTATCTGATGTGGTCTCTCTCACCTCATGTTAGCATCTCTTTTCCTCTCTTCTCCTGCATTGCTTCCTAGTCTTTGTGCTTTTATCTTGTTTCTTTTTGACACCGTTGTCTTTTCTTTTCTCTTCTCTGCTCTGACTTTCTCACGTTATTTCATTTTTTTTCATCTCTCTTTCTCTCCTTCCTGCTTTTAAATTGTCACATGATGTTTTTCTTCCTTTGTTTTTTCCTCCTGTTCATTAATTTATGCAGCACTTTCCCACTCTTTTGGGATGTCCTCTGTTTGTTTTATATCGGCACCCGTTTTGTTCAGAGTTAAACTGCAGACAGTTTATCAGGCAGCCTCTTTTACTGTAAGCCATGCTGTTGATGTGTGATGTGTGGAAACAGTGGTTTAGCATTTTCTTGCTGTTAACAAGCAAAAACATGTTGGACTGGATGCCAGCAAAACCTGTTGAGCATTATTGGGACTGCACGAATGTGCACCTTACCCACATTGTTGTGCACCGGTGCATCCGCTTACCATCATCAGCACTGTTTTTTTGCCCTGCGGCGTTCTTGGTTCCATTGCTCACATAACAAGACACCTTTACACTTCGGTTCGTCTTAATGTTAGTGACTCAGGAGTTTCTGGATCTCGGGTATATTAGTTTAATTTGCATAACAGAGCATTGATGGGTGTTTGACTTCATTGACTGTGGCTTTCAGAAGGGTTCCTGTGCCATCGCAGTGGTTTCCTTTACAGAAACCTGTCATTTTGTTGTGCAGTGCATCCTCAAGGCCTAAGAATCACATCTATTTAGTATTTCGTATCTATTTAGTATTTCTTCGGGGACCTAGTTGCTTGCATGCTGTGATCTTTCCATATTCTCTGAATCCTTTCATGATAAAAATGTGCAATCCCTTAACCTGCAATGCCACATTGGGGGGAAAAAGCTATTCTGAACGGTTTTCCTGTATAGTTTTTACAGATTGATGAACTTTTTTACTCGCTTGGATGCGCTTTTCAATTTAGACCTACTGGTCCGTTGCCAGTTAACTTAATTAGTTATCACTGTTTTGTGTATTGGATTTTTTGTTTTCTTTTTTTGGTCCAAAAATCTTTCAATATTTGTGTAATTGTGATTGAAATAATTTGCATTCTTTTGGGAGTGTAATTGTATATTACAGGAACAACGGCAGATTAAACACTGAGTTTGGAAAACCAGCACTGAGAAAAGAACATATTGTAAATTAGTACTTTTAAATAACTGATGGTATTTACTAACTGTCCCCTCTCACTCCATCTAGGTGAGCAGAAACGTTATCAGGTGGTGATCCACGGCATCGAGCCGCTGCTGGAGACGCCTCTGCAGTGGCTCAGCGAACACCTTAGCCATCCTGACAACTTCCTGCACATCTGTGTTGTTCCCACTCCGAGTGATTGAGGCCACTTCTGCTCCTGCAATGTACTGTCACTGTGATAAGACACTGGCCAGCCAGTTGACCAGCGTTTTCTTTTGGTGGAAACCTTAACGTAACAGAACTCTTTAATGAGAAGGAGGTCAGAATCTTGACAATAAAGACGAGCAAAGGATGCAAAAAGGGATATTTACTAACCCTTTTCCAGCTTGTCTATATATATTTATATCCTCTTAAAATTACTACTGCTTCTCCTCTTTCCCCCTCAAAAACTTGTTTAAAAAAGGAAAGAACTTTCTCCTCTCCTACAAGGAGAAGCAAGAGTTGAATGAGCAAAGGATCTCGTTCTTTTTTTCTTTTCTTTTTTATTCTTTTCCCACATCTTCTCCTTCCACTCCTCTCTGAACAAGCAAGCATCTCAATGGGAGAAGAGGAGGTGAACGGATCCTTTGTTTCGCCAATCTGGCACACATCTTCCTCCTTGTCTTGTCGGTAACTTTTCTGTAGACAGGGAAATGGAGTTCTAGTTTGGGGAGCGGTGTATCAAATCCTGCTGAAGTTGCCTTATTTACTGCACATTATCATCTTTATCCTTATTGTCCTCTCATCAATGTGTGGACGTGTGCACATGAAGTCACCTTAAGCTCACATCACAACCTTTTTGTTGGTTAAAAATACGGATTCATTTGACAAAGTGGGCTTGAATAAAAAGAGGATAAACTGTTTTGGAGTTTTGGCAGCAGTGACTGACATAATTATCTCCTTTCACTGATCTCAGCAGACCCAGGAGGTGGTTTGGGCTGACTGTTTACCATTGAATTTTGAGTTATTTGCAAAAGCAACTTAGCAATCAGAATGTCCAAAGTGTTTCTGCACTGTTGCTGAATTAGCATTAAATTGTAGCTTTGATTTTAAAATTATGAAATTCCCTTTTTTTTGTTTGTTTGTTGGCAGAGAAAAAAAACTGCCTTTGCACAACTTAAGGTATTTAATTTTTTAGATTTGTTGCCCAGTGGATGGTGGGAATCTGCAACACTCAAAACCAAATGTCCATAAACTAAAGATGACATAGTGGCATGGAAAAAGCCTGTTTTTACTACTAAAAAAACAATGGAGATGTTGAATTTTCACAGAGTTAACATTCAAAAATCACGTAGCTACTAATGAGGCTAAAGCATTTACTGAGAGACTCATGGGGGGAAAAAAATCCACATGTGTTTTCAATAGCAGGTGTTGATATCTTTCCATCAGTACAACACTCTTTAGCTGTTTTTACTGTCTGTTTTTGTCAGATTTGGCAAGAGCGTCTTTTCTTCACTGCCAAACTTAAATGAGCATCTGGTTTTGTTTCGTTTAAAGAACTCAGCTGAGATAATGAGACGGCAGGCGTACTTAGCACTAAGTCTGCAGTCTGTTGGGGGCAGTGGTGGTTTTACATGTTCTACATATGCTTTAAATAATTTTGTTTGTTGACACAAAGAGAATTGGCAATAGTGGGCAGCACTTCTTTAACAGCATAATGGCAGTAGCTGAGGAATGCAATGACTAGATGAGTTTGTAAAATGTTGCCATGTTTCTCTCTCGTATCGGCATCTTGACTTTCTTTTGTTTGTTTTGATTGTGACTTTTACTGTTCACAGTGAAATAAATTGCCATTAAAAATCAATCTGACATTGTTAATCCATACTGATTTAAAATCAAACTGAAATCTTCTATATGTATTTAAAGGCTCTATACAGAAGTAGGTTTCATGTGATGTCATAGCTAGAGGGACATACCAACTCAGAGTTTCTCCACAGCAAACCTGTTGGAATGATTTACATGGCATTGCAAAAATACTTGCTCAACCCTCATAAAACAACATTATGTTATAATATGTGATAATTTTCTTGTTCTTCACTTCATACATGTGGCATTATTTACTCAACCAGATTGAAAATACATGCAGCTCTCCATACTTTGAAAGCTTTCACTCTGGCAACAGTGTAAGGTGAGCATTCTCTACAAGATTCACATAGATGTCGCGGAACTGGAGCTCTGGGAGAGACGTCACCACTTACAGGAACTTGGATAAACCTGCTGGGGCAGAATTAGTCCCCAACACTTGTAGTTTCCCTTCATATCTTTGTTTTTCCTCCATGGGTAGATGATCCAAGTAGTCTTGGCTTGAGATAGGTGGTAAAAACCCGAACACTTTTTCTTGCAGCACTACTGACTTTCCACTATGGCCCATTATGATAAAGTAATGCTTTGCCTGCCAGCGTGGTGAGACAGTCAAGTGACTGAAAACTATGAATACGAGTAAGGAAGTTAAAATGGCAACAAACTACGACTTCCTATCAAACTTCTTGTGTCTGCATTAAACTTAGCTTCTCTGTTTGTTGTTTGTTCATGTGAAACTGTTTGAACTCTTTTTTGCAATGAGAGAGTGTAGAGCACAAAACAAGTTCCTCATGTGCAGGATATCTTTCCTTTCTCTGGCTATACTTACCAGATTACCAATCAGGCTAAGCGGTCAAGCAAAGGTTGCTGTTAGCTAAAATCTATCTGAGTGCAGCCATGTGAAGGAAGTAGTGTTGGCAGGATACAGTATGACCAATCAGAAATGGGTCCACTGGCAGCAGAACAACAAAGGGAGATAAAAGTATAATGTTAGAAAAGTATTAAAGGTTAAACACAAAACAAGCTAAAAGTTCACTGTTCGCGCACTGTGATCCAAGAGATCTTCCGAGAAGGGTGACAATATTTTTCGGAGAATTGATTTGTCAGCCAGAGGTGACTTTTTTTCTTTTTCTTTCTTTCTTCTTATTCTTTTTTTTTTTTTTTTTTTTTTTTTTAAATGTTCCTCTCTTATATGGGACATAACCTTCTCCCGATCAGGTCACATCTACAGCATGAGTCACCAGTACTCCAATGAGAAGTGAAACACCTTCGTAACACTGAAAACCCAAGGTTAACCATAAAAGTTACCTCACCATTGCCAAAATCCTGCTTTGCAATTCAGGTTTCAGCATCCAGTCAGTGGCTCAAAAACCCCCAAAGCAAACAAAGAAATCAGAAAAGCAAAGTTCATTTAAGCTGAGAGTTTCTGAAGTTTGTGTATTTGTGCAGATGCAAGTGTTATGGTGAGACATTGAAAAAGTCAGATTGAAAGAGCTTTCCCATAAATTGCTGAATAATTTGCAGAAAGAAAACGCTGACTGTTCTTCATATAGTTGTACATTTTTACATTCATAGTAACGAGCCTGATGTTTTAAAACCAAATGTGAAATCCTCCTATTATATAAAGCTCTACATGAACAGGCCTCTGCATATATATAACAGATCTTCTGGGACCTTAAGTGTCAGTGTCTGACAACTCCCAGGGATGATGGCAGGTAAGAAGTAAAAGCATAAAGGGCAGTCAAAAATCAAAGTAATGAACTGGTATGCATACATAAGTAAACTAAATGTGTGTGCTTACAAGTAGAACAAATGTATCCAAACCAACCAATAAACTTATTAAAACTAAAGTGTGTTGTTGTGTTCAAATAAAGAAATGAAAATACACAAGAGTTACCGACCTTTAGAGTGTGGCCATGGGTTTGGCCATCACGTAGACATACCTTGAAGGGTCCACTTTTCATTGTAAAAAGATACCTTAATGGTATCAAACCTCATGTCTGGATTATCCAAGGTAATCAACAAAAGGACATTTTTATTTTAAATATACATGATTTTGAAGATAACTTTATTTTTTTCCAAGAATACAAATTCAGTTTGTGACTTCTTTGAGACATGGTGAGAACAGACACGTTGAAACCTGGATTAATGAAGCCATAATGCTCTGCGCCTTTAAAGCACTGGAGCGAAATGCTGCCCAGTGAAAGTGTCTTCTGTGTCTTTTGGGTTTGAAACATCAGACAGGACAGAGTCATCTTTGCTCCCCTCTGGTGTTTCACTGGCTTTTTTACTTTATCCACCTCATAAAGAACATCTCTCTCTTATGTGTTTTACTGCTGACACTCACCCTCCCTCTCGCTCTTCATCTCTTCTGGTTAATTACCTGTTGGCATTCCACCCACTGCTAATGAGACCACTAAACTGTCCAGACAAGCCTTGGGCTGCCTTGTCACTGTGTGTGTGTTTGTGTATATATATGTGTGTGTCTGCTTGTCCTATTTTTTTCTTCTTCTTTTTCCAAGTAATTGAAATATACAGTGTGTTTGTGTGTATGTGTGCACATAATTACAGAGATCATTTATAGCCCCCTACAGGTGTGTATGTCTGTGCTCTGAGACATGCATTTGAATTTTTCCCTCTGACACACACACACACACACACACACACACAAACAGTCTTGTCTTTTGTCACACTGCCAGTGTGCTAATCCAAACTGTGTGTTTTGTGTGAGTGATGTCACACATCATGTCATCACGTCAGGCTTCCTCAGCCGCCAAGTGCGATGGGACGGTGGGTTTATGGTGTTGACTCAAACCCCGGGGCTCGGCGTGGGGTAATGTGTGCATTACTGCAAGTGTTTGTGTTAGTGTGTTTGTATACTGTACACACACTGTGGCCGTAGACGCTGTGATGAGGAGTCTGTCTCACTCTGTCATCTCCCTGACTCAGACGTTTTAATGGGATTTCCCAAGCTGCGATCCAACCCCCATACTCAATACAGTGAGAAGATGGAGCCGTAGGAAATAAAATTCCAGGCAGGGGGAGTGAGATGCTTGGTGAAGTGTATGGATGGAATGAGCTAAATTGTTAGCAGAGATACTGTCTGTGTGGTGTGTGAGATTTTTTTTCTTCCTGAATCAGAGTTGGAAAGCTTTGTCTAGAATCACACCGTGTAGCTTTTAGCAAATAAAGAGGCTTTTTATATATGGACACACACATAAATATATACATAATATATATACATATTTAATTTTATTTGATTATAGATATTGAAACAGGTTTTAATCAGGTTGGTACAGCTGTTGTTGGGTTAGTTCTAAAAAGCTCCACTTTAGCTATTAGCAGTGGCTCAAAGTAGGCATTCATTTTAGCTGAATCCTTCAAAATTATGTCACTTCATCTACTTTCTTACTATGTGAATTTCTTCTTCCTCTGTCGCTTCCTCTCCACAGCTGGTGCCAGCAGCACAGACAGCTGACATGTTGTTAATTTGACACATTTTTCTGCACCTTCTCGCCACCTCTTCCATACTAAACTTTTTAAACTTTGCACACAGTGAAGCAGGGGAGGTAGGGGCCTGTCGCTTTAAGAGACAATCGGACAATACAGTGTTAATAATGAAAATAAGCGAATGGGCTGCTGTCACTGCTTGTACGGCTGGTGCAAAGCGGCCCTTCAGGCCAGCCGATCGGCCTAAAAGTGCATAGGCCCACTGGGAAAATGCCAGGTATGCCAGATTACCAGTCCAGCCCTGTAGTTAGGTCTGGATCAGGTGACCCTGAATCCTCCCTTAGTTATGCTGCAATAGATCTAGCTGGTGGCTTCCATAATGCTCTGAGTGTATTATGTTTCACTCACTGTGTTTATGCACCACTTTGCACTTAATCAGTACTGATTTCATACCACCTTCTGTGTTTAAACTATCCTAAGCATTAGGAGGGAACAGTGTTAACTGCTAGGTCAGCATACAGCCAAGTTATATGAATGAAAATCTCCAGACAACCCTTCAAAGCACCTAAGAGGGAGGTTGTCATGGAAATAATCCAAGCAGCACTCGTTTTCTTCTATTGTTATCATTTCTCTCTGATGTTTTCTGATAGTCTTGCAATTTTTCATTCAACTTACATTTGGCTCAAACTGTAGAGGGTATGTCATTATTATTATGAGAACAAAATTAAGCTACACCTTTATGTTGCTATCCCTCAAAAATGTCCAACCTCTCGGTGTTGATGAAGCAATGATGAGGCTCCATTTTTGTGATGTTTTTGTTTGTGCAAATGTTTTCTGCGTGAAATATATGTAAAAGAACTGCAAATACTTTTAAAAACAGTGAAAACAGCCGAAGGCACACCGAAGAACCGCATTGGACATCTTTTTATTGTGGGTAACACAATACGTGACAATGCTGCAACAGGCCTTTTTTTTATGAATGTGTGTCAGACGCGTGTCAGCGGGCTCTGAAAACATGATGATCCCTCTTTTTTCTTAGTTTGCCAAGACTGTTTAAAGATTTCAGTGAGAAGGTAATTAAAAAGTCAAAGTTTTTCTTTGTTTCTTATGTCAGAATCCAGAATTTAGTTCATTTAATTAATTTAGTTCAATTAAAAAAGAAAAAAGCTAAACCTGTCTCTGTTTTATTTCCTAATATAAATTGCATCATAAGGTTTAAACAACCGAGCGGGCAACTGTTTAGTCATAATCTGATTTGTATCAGGGCGATTTCATCACCAGTTTGTTAATATTTCCATAACAACTGGAAACAATTATTTGTTTGTTCCAAAAATAGGCAAAACTTTACCGGACAGCTGATTTCCACAAGATTCCGTGAAACAACTTTTTGTCATGCACACACACACTTTTACCATCAGCTCAAACCACAAACTATGCCCTCCAGTGCTGCGCGATCCCCTATAGTCTCATTTTGTTTTGGTTTTTTGAGATCACAATCTTTCTTACTCAGAGAGAAACTAAACTCTTAAAATTCAGTCGTTTTAAA